TTCTGATATTAATTATTCCTACATATTCCTGTAACTCTACTTTTCTTCTCTTAGACTTGAAATCTCTGACACAGATCTTCTTTTGCTAGTATTCAAACTCCCCCCACCTTCTCCCTACTCCTTTCATTTCTCTTAGCTGGTCATTGCTACTCTCTTAAAAGTCTTCTAAGAAACACTGGAACAGTAATATTTAAAGCATCAGTGTTACCAAAAGTTAGCACCTTGTCAGTTTTAGCACTACAGCTCATAAGCTCCCAGGTGTCTGCTGGAGTGGGAAGAACATGCCTAATTGTGGTGATCAAAGGTCTCTTCCAACCAAAGCGATTCTATGATTCTATGATTCTATGTCTATCAAACCTTGTCTCCTGGGTCTCCGGCAGCACTGAAGGTAAATGGATGCAGAACTAGATGTAGCTCATGGGTCAGCTGATCTGTGAGGTGGTGGTTACATACCACCGGAGGAGAATCATGACTCGCAATATATTTCTCCCACCTCCAGAGGAAAGTAGGAATGCATGTCTCCAGGGCATGTTATTTTCTTGGATGCTTTTGGAATAGGGTTATTTACACCCCACCCGTTGGCAAGCCTGGGAATAAAAGGCATAATCAAAGCCTTATTTGGCTTAAATACAGAGCTCTGTGGTTCTGGAACAGCAAATCCTTCATTTGCATCTCTCCTGATGGTCATGTAGAGCATGTGGGCACAGAACCGTTACCAGTGGCACCCTTCCAGTCTTTGCTGGATAACTGCACATGCACTGGGGAGCACTGTGAAAAGGGAGGGTAAACACCCTCACTGGCACCAGGACCATCATTGCTATTACACTGTAAGTTGCTGTAATGCATTAGTGTAAAAGATACAACTATGTGTCTTAGCATCCATGAATTTCTGCTCCACGCAATTTCAGATCTCTGCTGAATTTAGACACCCTCTCCACCCACCCCACTGGCATAGGAAAGGGAATGAGCCACAAGGTAGAAGACCCTTTGCTGAGGGTGTCTCTCACATTTATGTCTCATCCCCAAGCAGCTGAAAGCCTCAGGAGCTCAGGTTAGCTGTCAGGGAAGCCCAGAAAGCAGAATCCATAGCTCCACATGAGATTCACTTTAAAATCTGTAATACTTCTCTGTATTTTCCTCGATGCTCTTTCAGCTTTCACTGGGGTTGTGTAAAGGCTGGTGAATCTTGCTGATGCTGGCATTTCCTCCAAAGGAAAGTCTCCCAAAGAAAATCACCTAAGTTATATGTAGGAAAACATTTTATGTAATGCGATAAAGATGTAGTAGGCTGTTTGTATCTCATTCTGAGAGCTGTTTGACGTTTGTGGTACTTATTTTTTGGGAAATGCAGATGTACTTTTACAAGCATCTGTCATTGTTCTATTTCATTGACAAAAATAAGATACTGCATTGATTTTTTTGCTACTATATTGCTTTTCTGTCTATCTTTATATTTTAGTATTTATTTTCAGTGGTTAATGGATAAGCTGCCATTACAAAAATACAGAGGAGTTTGATGTTCTAGTACTCCCAAGAGCTGTGGAACCTGGACCAGCATGAGGTCGTAGTCAAAGACCAGTGTGTTTAGGAGTGGATGTCAACACATGAAGATGGCATTGAGGTTGTGCACATCTCAGAAATGTTGTGCTGCTAATAGCATGTTAGGAGATCTGTGTTGCGACATTTTGTCAGAGCGACATAGTCTTTCGGGCTACAAAGGCACAGACTACCTGTACCAGATGCAAAGAGAAAGAGCACTAAAGTCAGTGGTTGTGTTCTGTACTCACTTAACGCACCTTGACACTATTAGTTATGATGGAAACTGTCTGTGCACATGTACTCTCACACTGGGTATCGGGGACAGTGACCGTGTGGCTAGCCCTTGTATACAGATATAGCTGTGTTGATACCAGTCACCCTTTCTATGTAAATGCTGGATTTTCTTATAGGTCATTGTCTTGTGCTCCCTGCAGACACAGTTGTCCTTGGTCTGGAAGACAAAGGAATAACACATGATAGTGGCTGCAGTGGAAAATAATTTACAGCATCCCTTTTTGTTTGCAGACTTTGGAGATCTGTTTAAGAAATTAGGCCTGTCAATTTTGCAGACTTAAATCAATGCACAATTTTCACTTAATTTCCTCACTCACTTTCTACAAACAGAAAATGAAGTGTTCTTATTCT